GATTTAACACTGCTGCCCTCTAGTGGTTAAATCGTGTAATGTTTATGGTTCATTAAATGATTTAACACTGCTGCCCTCTAGTGATTAAATCATGTAATGTTTATGATTCATTAAATCTCTCTGTTCTGTTCTTTAATATAACGTTAATGGAGCGACGGAGCCTCTCCCAGCTGTTAGCAGACTGTTGTGCTAGCAAGCAGGCTCACTCGCAAGCTGTACCCAGCATGCAGTTCGGCGGTGAAATTTTATAAATGTACAATTATTAGTGTTACAAATTGTTTGTGTCACAGACTGTTGTGTGTTAGCATTAGTTGTGGGTTGTTAATTGTTGTGTTATAAAGTTATGACCATGACTAGGGTTCCCTCTCAATACATAGCGCTGACCGCTGTGCATTAGCAGCAAAGAATACATTTAGCTGCCTGTTGAAAGCAGACAGCAGTTGTTTTGGCTATGCACCGGTATAATGGTGTGTGAAGAACACATATCATACGGGAAATTAAAACCGGTATACTGCCCAGCTTTATTATAGTTTGGACAATTTTGTACCAATATTTGACGGGCCGGATTAAAAAGCCCAACGGGCGTAGTTTGCCCATGCCTGGGCTAGCGGCTAGCTGAGTGTCTTCTTCTGCTTATTGTAGCTTGTTAAACAACTGACTGACGCATTACCGCCACCAGGTGGTGGGAAGCTATATTGTAACTGAGCGTCTCATGGAGAACAGTAATATCTCTGGTGTCTTCAATTGATAACCTATGCGGTCCCGCGGCCCTCGCGGCCCACAGGTGCAAAACTGAAAGTTTTTTGCGGCCCTCTAGGTGGCGTTCGCGGCCCCACCATCGTTAAGAATCACTGCTCTAAAGGCCACAGTGAGCGCTGAAGGTGGTGGAGTCATTGCAGCCGGGGTGCTTAGATGTTAGCACAACGAAACAATATCCATCAGTTTTCCCCACTTAAAGTCAGTTCTATATTATATGTTAAGATGGCCATTTTCCAATGTACTGTATGTTGTAGGATACAATTGTTGCATGTATTTGTAATCTTTCAGGCTCGTTTTGAATCAGCCTGAATAAGATAAAGTTAATTTAAATCAATTATAAGGTTATAGGGTTAAATTCAGATCCTCTATTTTTAAGGAGAAGTAGCAATGCCACTAAGCAAAAGCACTCAAGCACAAGCACAAGTGGACATGTCTTAAGTATAAGTTGTATCATGAAGTAATAACACTATACTGTTCCGGAAGTAGTAGTTGTTGAGGCTAATTGACCTACTTATGTACTTTAATGATGGCATTTATCTAAGCTCGTGTTAGGTTTTGTATGTAGATGAACTTGTAAAAACTAGGTAAATGAGGGGGGGGTAAAAAGTAGCAGAGAAGATACTCAAGTAAAGTACCTTAAAATGATACTTGTGTAGAGAACTTTAGTGCATGAAGTTGCTCTTCATCGCTGCTTTTGGCAGTACAAGTGACTCATCATTTCCTTATTCTACCAAAATGATCAGTGTTTATAGGCCCCGCTACACCTGTTTGATTTCTGACACATTCTGCCTGAAAAGCAGTGGAGGCCTGTGATTACAGTTATTTCATGTAAATAAATTAAATATATATTTTAAATAAAATTGTGCCAGAGGAGGAAATAAACAAGATAAACATGAATTTATTTTGAAAGCTAGGTGGAGATGTGGGCCGTCCTGTTTGGCTCATGGTTTGGCACGACAACCGCCATTGCAAATTGACTACAATTCCCATGATGCACTCGGCTGTTGCACCCAGAGGAAGTTGAAAAATCCGAACCCGCTGCCGAAACTTGCCAAAAAAAGAGTTTGGGCAGCAGATAACGGTAAGACACACATGAACGGAACAGGAAACAATGACGAAACTCACTGTTTTGGCGCTATTTAGCACTTCTACCTAACTTTGCGTAGCGTTTGTCTGCGCATGCTCCTCATCAGCTCTATTGGATCCACGTGGTGTGTGTGTGTGTGTGTGTGTGGGTGGAGTGATAACGTAGTTTACATCCACAGGCTGTAAGCAGAGGAGACGCTTGTGGCTGCTGTCCTGAACTGGGCTCCGTCTATTTCCTGCTTCACAGAGACCCTAACACACAGGTGAGTATCAAAGCAGCATGCTAGATGTTCATTTCAACAATGATTTATGTTGCTGAAAAAAAGCTAGTCAAATGCATCTTACTCCTACTTAAAAAACATTAATGTTAGTTGGAGTGATTCATTGAATGTTAACCTTCAGATACTGGAATAGATTGCTTCAGGATGTAGACACCATCCATCCTGCTAACTGTAGAGTGAGTGTACAGTTTATTTCAGCATGTGCAGACACATTGATGATGCATACTGTGAGTGGAAGCTTGTATTAAGTGAGCCAAAGTAAAATGAGATTTACTTAATTGTTAAGTAGTCAAATTGCAGTGGAGTACAGAGTTATTATAAGAGTGTTAAAAGTACGACGTTATCAGCTGTATGTTGTTGTTGTTGAAGGGGTGTTTAAAATGATCCTGCATTGTTGGACTCGTGCATTTGATTTGCTCCCTGACATGTGAGTCACATGAGCCGAGTGATTTCGATCAAAGCTGGTGATTTGACTCATTGTGGAGCATGTGCCCTCGCTGTGCAACACTCGACCCTTTGTACCGAGTCTGCTCGCAGTTGTGTTCAAGGCTGATAGTGGACGATGTATCTGCTGCACATGCAGGTCTTCACTATAGTAGACCATGCCGTCACTGCAGACTGGGCTGGTTTGACGTCTGACCCCGGCTTGTTGGAGTGGATCGGGGTCAAAGGGTCTTTTTCAATGTACAATTCCATATCCTTGGAGAGAGAGAGGGAGAGAGAGAGAGGGAGAGAGAGAGGGAGAGAGAGGGAGAGAGAGGGAGAGAGAGGGAGAGAGAGAGAGAGAGAAAAAAGGCGGCGCATAGTTAACTGTACATCAACCTGATAGTGACTTTTGTTTTTCCATGCAAATGAGCCCCTGTTCTCAGCTGCTGGTGATTGGGCCTTGCCTGGTCACCATGCCTTTTTAATTGTTGACTTGTGTTTTTGTTCCAGTTGATTGGATCCGTGTTACCGTGGCATTACAAGATAATGTAAGGCCTCGGAGAAGGTCACCGCCTCGTCACAGCTTAGGGAACCCCTTTTGTTATAGGTCAAGCTATGCATGCAATTAAACGGCTACTTTAGGAACTGTTAAAGGGCAAGTGAGATGCGCTGGCTGCTCTCCAGAAAAATGCTGTGACGGTGTGAACGGTTTCAGTGCCATGCTAAATGCCGGGCTCTCTTCTTTCTCGTTGCTCAGGCGCCATGGCAGAGACAGTGCTGGTGGTTGGCGGTGGTGGACGGGAGCATGCGCTGGCCTGGAAGCTGGCCCAATCGCCGCAGATTCAGAAAGTCCTGGTGGCCCCGGGTAACGCAGGCACGGCCGGCTGTGGGAAGATCCGCAACTCTGGTAAACGCCAACACCAAGGCTCTTTAGTCTAGTGTACTCCTTTTAAAATACCCCCAAAAATGAGGCCGAAAACATTAGTTCCACCTTGAATATTGTAGAAGAAAAAGAACCTGAATGAACTGTGTGATCTATAACATGGCAGAAATTATAAAAAAATAAATAATAATAATCCTTGTCACAAATTCCCAGGGTTCAAGTTAACATGTTCAAATCAGACAAAAGTTTAAATGAAGAGATGTTTAGTTCGTTACCTCGACTACAAAAAGCCAGTAAATATTCCCATTTTAGGAGCTGGAACCATTGCATTTCACTTATTTGCTTTAACAATTACTTCACAGAATGGTTTGGCAATTTGGAAAGTATGCTTATTGCCTCTCCTGCTGAGAAATAGATGAGGAGCTGCTGCCGCTCAGCATAGCTTAGCATAAAGATTGGAAACGGAGAAACGGCTTGCTCGGCTCTGTCCAAAGGTAACAAAATATGGCACATAACTACTAATTAAAAGGCAATTTGCAATAGTTCCATTTCAGTTTTTGTGAGAGATTAAACACAATAGGGATTACATTTTATATTTGCATTTATTTGAATTCACTTATTATAATTAAACTCTAGAATAATACAACATACATTTCCTCCTTACACCTCAGGTTCCCCTATAAATAAGTCTTCTTATAGTCATTCATTCATGTCTGCTTAGTGTTTCAATAAATACAACATGTAAGATGAGACATTAATGTGTTAATTAATGCACTGATTAAATGACAGACACACCTGGAACTAACACCTCACTCTCTCCATGCAGAGTGTAAATGATCCCCTCCTCTCTCTCTCTCTCCATGCAGAGGTATCGGTGAGTAACCACGCCATCCTGGCTCAATTCTGTAAGGATCACCATGTGGGGCTGGTTGTGGTCGGACCTGAGGTGCCGCTGGCAGCGGGTAAGTGCCTTCACCACCCGCCATCATATAAACTGTCATCTTCTCTTCGTAGCGTCTTTCCCTGAACTTGAACGTCTCTTGAAGGTATTGTAGACGACCTGACGGCGGCAGGAGTGCCCTGTTTCGGCCCGTCTGCCAAAGCCGCCCAGTTGGAGGCCAGCAAAAACTTTTCCAAGGCCTTCATGGAGCGCCATGGCATCCCCACGGCCCGCTATGGCTCCTTCACCGACCCCCGGGAGGCCTGCAACTACATCCGCACGTCAGTACAATGGATGGAGACAGAGTTTGTCTGTGGATCGGGTTATATGAAGAAAAGCATACAGCTTACATTTTCAGTAAAATCATAGTTGTAGTAAATTAGCAGAGGAAACAAAGGGCTAAATGCATGTTTTTCACTGTTTATGGTGAATCAATAACCATTTTTTTAATTCAGTTTTCATTTCCAGTAGCAAAGTTGTGGAGTTTTGTTTTCAGAGCCTTTAAACACAAGACATGTGTGCCGTAATAGAAAATGATATCTCCTGATGTTCTGTTCCTCAGATGGTTTCATGAGTTGATGATCTAAGATCACTATGACTGCACCCTCGCACAATCACACACTTGTTGCACCTTTTACAGACGGAAAAGAGAAAGTCCTCTCTACTCTTTGAAAGTCATTTCTTTGTTCATGTAAACCATCTTGGGCAGAGCAGCAGCTGCCATATTCCACCAGCCTTCATCCATTAAACAATACCGTGCACTGCCAATGTTAAATGGTCCACACGCAAAAGAATGCTCATATCAGAGCTGCAGCATCTGGTCCAGATGTGTTTTCTGTTAAAAGATGTTCACATTACCGAGTTCATTTCATTGTTTGGGGGTCTCCAGGGCCGACTTCCCGGCGCTGGTGGTGAAGGCCAGCGGGCTGGCAGCAGGGAAGGGAGTCATTGTGGCTGGAGACCAGGACGAGGCCTGTCGGGCTGTGATGGACATCATGAAGGTATAAAAGCGTCGTCTCTGTGGTCGCTCATCTTGGCAGCTCCATTAGTTAAGGAGTGGAAAGAAAAGCAAAATGTGTTACTGAAGTGGAAGTAAAATGAGTTTAGTAAAGCCCGTCGTCATCAGTCAGTCACACGTTGAGATCTGGCAGCTGACCACAGATCAGTCCAACTAGAACAGAATTTTCCAGTATGCTTCACCCAACCAGTCTGTGGATTCTAACCACCTTCTTTTGTTGGCTGGAGTTTCTACATTATGATGAAATTCTGCAGTGAATATTATTTCTAGCCAGCAATCGGTTGTTGTAAAAGTTGATGCATGTTTAACGTGTTTCTGCAGGACCGAGCCTTCGGATCTGCAGGGGACACTGTGGTGGTTGAGGAGCTGCTAGAAGGAGAGGAGGTGTCGGTGAGTTAAAGCTCTTTAGTGAAATCCATAACTGAATTGAACCAAATGTACCTTTCTGTATAAATTATAGGAAAATTGACATGTTTCCCCCCCCCCCCTCGTTTTGTAGTGTCTGTGCTTCACTGACGGCTCCTCGGTGTCTGCGATGCCTCCAGCGCAGGATCACAAGAGGCTGCAGGACGGCGACCTGGGGCCCAACACCGGCGGCATGGGGGCCTACTGCCCCACCCCTCAGGTACACGCTTCCTCTGCCTCCCAGCCTGGTTCTCTTCTGGTACCCTTTTTAGGATGATGAGAGCGTTCCACTTGTGTGCAGCGTCTTCAATGCTGCTCGTGTCTCTCGGTCCCGTGCAGGTGAGCCAGGAGCTGCTGCAGCAGATCAGAGAGACGGTCCTTCAGAAGACTGTGGACGGGATGAGGGAGGAGGGAACTCCTTACGTGGGCAAGTGCTCGTGTTCTGTCTGCACTGCAGTCCAGAGAGCTCCCCTGCATCCATTCTTCTGTTTGCAGTTTGCAGCCTTCATGAAATGTAGCTTTTATTTCCAGGTGTGCTGTATGCAGGGCTGATGTTGACCAAGCAGGGAATAAAGGTCCTCGAGTTCAACTGTCGCTTCGGAGACCCGGAGTGTCAGGTGGGTTTCTTTGACTTTTGACTTCTTTGACCATCAGTGGATTTTCTCTTAAAATGAACATCAAATATGTGCTGGCCCTCCTTCAGGTGCTGCTGCCCCTCCTGAAGAGCGACCTGTATGAAGTGATCTTGAACACCATGAATGGTAAACTGGTCTCCAACGCCCCTGTGTGGCACCAGGACAGCTCTGCAGTCACTGTGGTGATGGCCAATGCCGGTTACCCCGGCTCCTACAAGAAAGGAGTAGAGATCACAGGTGTATGACACTGCAGCACAAGAAGTATTAAATTCTTACACACAATTGTAACGGTCTGGAGTAAATCCTTATAAATGTTATGTTCTGTGTGTTTGGTATTTTCAAGCCATCGATTACACCAGACTAACAACTGTGTTCATCCTCAGGCTTGTCCCAGGTCCAGGACTCGGGGGTGCAGGTTTTCCACGCCGGCACAGCTCTGAAGGAGGGAGGCGTGGTCTCCAGCGGTGGGCGGGTCCTCACCGTCACTGCGGTCAGGCCGTCCCTGGAGTCGGCCCTGCAGGCTGCCAATCGGGGCACGGCGGCCGTAGGCTTCCCGGGTGCCGTGTACCGCCGCGACATCGGCCACCGGGCCATCGCCCACCTGAACCAACACAGGTGTGTGTGAAAGTGGTACAGGCTCGCATTAAAACACCCAAACATCCCCTTTTGTATTGCTTTTGTTCAAATTACTTTTTTCTTAGTTTGTAGTCAAGTTCATAAATACTGTATATCATGAATAATAAACATTAATTTGAATATACTTGTGTCCTAGTATTTCTTTAAATGATCAAGTCCTCAACCAGAAACCCCCACTGATTCTAACACATTGAAGCCTCACTGTAGCTTTAGCTGTAAACATGGTGTAACACCGGGAGGAACAGCTGAGTGAGTGGTCTCTCACTGTGTCTCTGACAGAGGTCTGACCTATAAGGACAGCGGAGTGGACATCGCTGCTGGAAACAAGCTGGTGGACATGATCAAGCCCCTGGCCAAGGCAACATCCCGCGCTGGTAACTTCATTCTCACGAACAAAGAAAATACGTTGTGGTGCAATTAAATAAGACTCTTTCAAGCGATCAGACACACGAGCTTGTTTGATTTAAGCAGCTGACTGAAACCATTTTCTCATTAAGAAACAAATTGCTGTATTTTTAGTAATTGTAGTGGTTAATGCTGTCATTTTCATTGTGTTTGCTGGGATAAATTCAGTAGCAAATTAGAAAGGGTAGAAGAAGCAGTGAACGTGACCATAGTTGGTATTTTGTTCTCACCAGGGTGTAATGCAGAACTGGGAGGTTTCGCTGGGCTGTTTGACCTGAAGGCAGCAGGTTTTGTCGACCCGATCCTGGTATCCGGGACAGACGGAGTGGGGACCAAACTCAAGGTGGGACTTCGGTTCCTTCATCCCATTTATTGGAGAATATGGAAGATTTGCCAGCTAGTGTCTACTGTTTGCCACGAGTCATACTTATTATGCAAACTTTTGCTGTCATTTATTGTTACTGTGCAAAATATGTGGCACCCGTTGTCATTTCAAAGTCCTGGAACAAATGAGAATCAAAGGAAAGTACTAAAACCCTCGACTCTCTTCAATTTGGCTTTGGTAGATGCCAGATCGGCCAAGAAATAACAATTCAAAATTGGATCCAGATTTGGCTCAGACGTATTGGAGCAGCAGGACAGATTCTGTTTATCTGTAGAGCGACTCAAAAGCTTCTTAAAACCCCTGAACACATCCAAATTTCATTCATTTAAAGTGTGAAAGATCCAGGTTCTTTCATGAACTTATGGAAGCAGGTTCAGCTCATTGTTGGTGAGTCTAGAGTTGTTGTCTTTTAAATTGTGCACTTCGCAAAGTATTTTGCTTTATTTCCCCCAAAAAATGTCTCTACAGATTGCCCAGGCGTGCGGGCAGCATGGCGGTCTGGGTCAGGACCTGGTGGCCATGTGTGTGAACGATGTGCTGGCTCAAGGCGCCGAGCCGCTTTTCTTCCTCGACTACTTCTCCTGCGGCAGCCTGGACGTGGACGTCGCCGCGTCGGTGGTCGGCGGCATCGCTAAGGCCTGCGAGATGTCCGGCTGCGCTCTACTGGGTGAGTTAGGAGATGATGTTTAGATCATTAGTCTATTCATTCATATTTTGGTGTCCCTATCATCCAAAAGAGGTCCTATATTACCTGCTATGGCGGTAGAGCTGAGTGTGCTGTATGTCTTTTAATGTCCAGGTGGTGAGACAGCAGAAATGCCGGGCGTCTACGCTCCAGGAGAGTACGACCTGGCGGGGTTCTGTGTTGGAGCGGTGGAGCGCGGGGCTCTGCTGCCCAGGCTGGGGGACATTGTAGAGGGGGACCTGCTGATCGGACTGGCCTCCTCTGGGGTCCACAGCAACGGCTTCAGCCTGGTCCGCAAAGTCCTGGAGAGGGCCGACCTCAGCTACAGCTCCCCTGCTGTTTTTGGCAGGTCGGGACAGACTGTCGGTAAGTCACCCAAGTGGACCCGAGTGTGTTCTCCGTCTATGTTTAACCCTTTTAATGCCCACCATGTGACTAACACTGCTTCCAGGTGAGGTTTTGCTGACTCCGACAAAGATCTACAGCCGCCTGCTGCTGCCAATCCTTCGCAGCGGTGCCGTCAAAGCCTACGCTCACATCACAGGGGGGGGGCTTCTGGAGAACATCCCTCGGGTGCTGCCCCAAGAGCTGGCAGTCGACTTAGGTGAGATGAAAGCACGCCGAAACTTGATCGTCAAATGAAGCACACGAAATGCGGGGAGGTGGCTTGTGTTTTGGATAAAGCTGCATTTTGGATATCAATCATTTTTTTTATAGTTATCTAATGTGAGAGGGCGCAAAAAAGGAATGAAGACTGTTTTCAGTACAAACGTCTTTATAGTGGGATGACCCTGTGCAAACATGAATAAACAGCATTATTTTCACATTCAGCAGTTTCCCTCCACTCTGGAAAATGAAAAGGTCACTTTGTGGTTATTTAAGGCCACAGCTGTCACTCATTAATATTCACACTTGGTGTTTATCACCCGACTCAGATGCCTCTCGATGGAGCGTCCCTCCAGTGTTTTCCTGGCTCCACAAGGAGGGGAGTCTGAGCGAGGAGGAGATGGGCCGCACCTTCAACTGTGGCCTGGGGGCTGTGCTGGTGGTTTCCCCCCTGGATGCTCAGAGGGTCCTACGCCAGCTTCAAGCTCATGAAGAGGCCTGGATCGTGGGTTCTTTGGCCCACAAGCACCAGGGTGAGAGATACTGGAGAGGAAAGGCAATAAACTATTAATATTATTGATAAAATGTACAGCAAATTGTAAGAAAATAAGTTTTTATGTGTTTATTTATGCAGGGGCAGAACCTGTGGTGGTCCGCAACCTGAAACACAGCCTGCAGAATGCAGGGCCCGCTCCCAGCGGAGAGTTGGGTGTCGAGCAGAACAGTGGTTGCGACAGCAACACGCCACACAAGAGGACCAGGGTGGCTGTTCTCATCTCTGGCACAGGTGAGTTTATGTTGCTCTCGAAATAAGAATTGCATAGAATTGGAGAGCCTCCACATTTTGGGAAAGATCTGTAGAGTAACACTTGACTTTCTCTGTCCCAGGCACCAACTTGCAGGCACTGATGGAGCAGGCCAAGCGTCCATGCAGCTCTGCAGAGATCGTGGTGGTCATCTCCAACAGACCCGGAGTTCAGGGCCTGAAGAGAGCTTCGCTGGCTGGCATCCAGACACGGGTGAAAATATGAATAACGATGAGTTTATTTGTACTGCGCCATTGTGACAAAGTGCTTCACATGAAAGAGACCTGCACCAGGATGTTTTTTTGTCAGGAGACAAAAGTATGCAAAACCAAAAACCCATCTAATTTTAGATATATATTTAAAACTGGAGTGGAAGGGCTCGTTTAGATTAGACTGCATTTAATTGAGGGATTGGGCGAGTCAGGACTATACAATAAAATCCTAAATGTTTATAGTGTGTGTGTGTGTCTGACCCGGACGCAGGTGGTGGACCACAAACTGTACGGGAGCCGAACGGAGTTTGATGGCACAATTGATCGTGTGCTGGAAGAATTTAGGGTGGAGCTGGTGTGTCTGGCTGGATTCATGAGGATCCTCACGGGAACCTTCGTCAAGAAATGGAACGGTGTGAAAAAATAAGATGATGATTTGGTGGGTCATATCTTGGTGGGTCATATCTTGTTATACATTATTTGGTATTTGTTATTCTTACAGGAAAGCTGCTGAACATCCATCCATCACTGCTGCCCTCATTCAAGGGGGTGAATGCCCAGAAGCAGGCTCTGCAGGCGGGAGTGCGGGTGACTGGCTGCACGGTCCACTTTGTAGCAGTAAGTATGACAAACTGTAGAACCACCAGACATCAAACAAAGGGCCCTATACCTCAATTTATTTATTTTTTTGTTCATCCGTGTTTAGGAAGAGGTGGATGCTGGAGCCATCATCGCGCAGGAGGCGGTGTCCGTGCTGGGCAGCGACACGGAGGAGAGTCTGTGCGACAGGATCCGAGAGGCCGAGCACCGGGCCTTCCCTGCCGCTCTGGAGCTGGTCGCCAGCGGCGCGGTCCGGCTCCGAGAGGACGGACACATCACGTGGAAGTCCAATTCCCAGAGTTAAAAGCCACACATCCAGTTCAGTTTTACATTAACACTTTACTTCTAAAACTTCTCATATAATACAAAAGAGACACAACGGTCAAGATATTAACAGTTTTCTGTTCTTTCTTCTGATTGTCCAGTTCTTAATGGGATGCTTAAAGCTTTCAAGCATACATAGAAACATTTCAACTTTTTGTGTGAAGAAGCATCATACTTGAAACAAAATTACATTCCAATGTTACCTTTTTTTTTATTTGAGATAATTAACTTAAATAAGAATGTTGATTGTACTTGTAATGACAGAATGGGTTAGTATAATTATGAATGTCTGTTACTAAAACGTCATTATTAAACCTGTCTGGGTGAGAACATGGGGTCATGTTGTGTGGCATTTTTTTTCTTACAAATTTGCCAATATGACACCGTAGTCCTTCAACCAATTCCTTGCAAAAGAAGTTCTTGTTCTTTACAGCTTTAATAAGAAGTTCTTGTTCTTTACAGCTTTAATAAGAAGTTCTTGTTCTTTACAGCTTTAATAAGAAGTTCTTGTCTGGTGAATCTTACAGTTTTCTGCATTTGTCCTTACTTGCAGACAATACTGCATCCCGAATGGCAAAAAAGAGTTCCTGTAATCTTTTCAGGTGATTTAAAAGTGACCGTTAGCTGCTTTGGAAGCGCAGGACAGACAGCCTCTCATTTCCAGCTCTAGTCGACATGCACGTCTCTCCTCTCAAGCCACATTTGCCCAGAAAACGGATGATCTCCTCTGTTGAGAAAAGAGAAATCACTGAACTGTCCGGAATGTTTCCTGCAGGGTCTCAATCATTCTACTCACCCGGCTCATTCTCTGCAATGGTAACGAGGTAGAATAAGCCTTTACTGGAGAGCAACTGCGCTACCACAGGCAGAAATCTGTCGGTCACCTCTCGCCCTCGCTTCCCACCGGCCCAAGCAGCCTCAATACCCGAGCTGCCGACCTGGAAGAAAAGCACAGTGATGAACTGCTCCTCATCTGTAAACTGAAGACCACCTGCTGCACGGGGCTGAACCACCTCCTCTGAAGGCGTGACCACATAGGGAGGGTTGAACAGGAGGACATCCACTTCCCCACTTAAGCGGGGCAGAAGACCCTCCGCCTACAGGGAAGCGAGGAGAACGGTCTTTACAATTCAAATCCTGCACTTGAAGCATGTGAACAGCTGGAATGTGAACGTCCGAGTCTCACCAAGGATGTGATGACGGGCTGCAGTGACGCCTTGTTACAGGAAGCTGTCTTAGCTGTGCACTGCGCAGCTGCAGGATTCACATCAGTGCAACTGCACGAGAAACACATGCACATATTAAAGAATGTCCAATAACTTTTCTGCCATGCATGAGGAAAATGTGTATAACTCACAGATATAGAGCGGAAGGTCCAACCAGCGATGCCAGAAAAGCAGACACCACTCCTGAGCCACTGCCCACCTCCAAACACACACACGGGCTGGAAACGGGCACATTTTTTTAAAAATTTGAAAATATGGCCAACTAACGTAAACATAAATATATGACTGATTTGGGGAAATTGTCTGACCTCATCTGCTGCAGCAGCGCTGCGTCTTTCTCCAGGGCGTCAATCAAGAGGAACGAGTCTTCCGCCGGCTCGTAAACATCTCGGAAGTCTCCTCGTCCAGCATGGGAGTAGACGGGTGTGGGACAACACGAAGACATGTTCACGTCACGGTTAACAGCCACGCGACCCGACCGCACGTGTTCGTCACCATTTAGTAAGTGTCGCTGGTAGACTTTTGCAGTGCGTTACACGCTTGTATGATATTCATAAAAGTTGAGAATCAAAGGTGAGTATCTAGCTGAAATGTGTTAGCTTAGCTAGCACGGTCACGTTCCACTTCCGTGTAGCCAAACCTACGTCACAATGACGTACATTAACTAGTTCTCAGCTGTTGGGGGGGGGGGATTTGATCCATGTGGAAAGTGATTTTCTATAACTTCAGTTTAAATTACAAAGTACAGTCAATACAATTTACTTGTAAAAGTACTCCATGCCAATTTAAAATAATTTAAAAAAGGTCATAATATAAGCATGTTGATAAAAGAAAAAAATAATACAGCATGTCGATAAAACAGAAAAAAAGTCTGCGTCTATGTCGAAAACATTTAAAATTAGTCATAGTATATAGCATGTCGAAAAAATTGGAAAGTCGGTCATAGTCGCATGTCGAAAAAATGTGAAGGGAACCCTTAAGCTCCTCTGGTAGATTCAGTCACATCTGTATCACATTTATGGACAGGAAAGAGAGTTAAACTCTTCAAAAAAAACAGTACTTTGTTTGGTTTCAACCACTGATAAATGATGAGGTTATTAAGGTTTTCTCACAACAATCACATACAACAATTTCAATGAAACAGTGTCAGTGCTACAACAGCTAATTCTGACAATCCTGCTATTAACAGGTATTCTTTATTCAGCTTTCACCATGAGTTTTTTCATGCCGTCTTCTAGTCACCCCTAAGGGCATAAGACCTTTAAGCCTATTCCTCTTGTTAAAGAAGTATGATCCAGTCTCTACCCTGGAACAATCCCAGTCTCTCTCTGCTCTGCTGGCTCCTTTGATGCTGGTCTGAGGCTGGTACCTCCCTCAGGTTCATGCGTCGCTCACACACATGATTCATCCTGCTTTTAGGTCTGCAATGTAACTGGTTTGATCCTGTTTAGAACAGGAAGTATTATATAAGTTTTGAGTGACATTTTACATAAAGCGTCTAAGCAGTTTGTGTGTTTAATTACTTATATTATGAAATAAAACAATTTATATGTATAATGGTTATACTTTTTAAATCAAACAGGTTCTAGGTTGTAATAGTTATACAAATATGCTTTCATGTTTTTCTACAATCTTCTTACAGCAAAGTTGATGTAGTGCTTGTGGACGTAAATCCACAAGTATAAAAAGTAATTGTCGGGAAAAAAAACATGTCATAAAAATGTCCATCTGTCCAGCTGGAAATTGCTAAATGACCCGATACTATTATTTGAATTGTTGTGTGACTGTCGTTTGTTTTGTTTCTCTGTCCTCCAGGCTGGAGAGCCACAGGGAGGCTCATCAGAAGCAGCTCAGGGTAAGGAAACAAACAGCTGTCTTGATACTTTGATTATTGTTTGAGTCAATATAGCATGCCATAGAAATGTCATAGAGTGGTCAAATGTAACACAACGTCTAGTCTGAAAAGATGCAACAGTCGACTTTAGCTATTTTTTTCTATTTATGCTCTCAAGGGCTGTTTCAGATGAACAGTTGAGATTGTCAAACAAATGTAGAGTATAGTATTTCATTTAACTTGCACTGTGATTTAGTGCCATATATGTTGAAGTAGCCGAGCAGTTGTATTTACGTCTGTATGTAGTCAACAACGGACTGTCAAATCAAATAAAGAAAGTTCAATAGAATAATATGTCAACAATAGAAATAAATGTAAATAAATTACATAACAGAAACTTAACCTGTGAAATTGTATTACGCCATTTTGATTAACTCTGCAGATTTACTTTGTTGTTTTGTAGTCCTCATTCATCAATCCATCCACGTTATTGCGAGTATTATATAAACGATGCATGATTTACAGGCTGTCTTGTGCAGCTGTGCCCATAGAAGAAAATTAGCGGTAGCGGAGGTGGATTTTAACAAAGCAATGGACAGCAAATATACAGTCCCAGCCCATTACTCAGACATTCACCAGAGGCCTACCATTCTCTGCATCTTGGCAGGAGGTCTGCGTATGCTGTAGGAGTAGTAGTTGAGCATGGCGTACTCGATCATGGCAGCGAAGACGAACAGGAAGCAGACGGTGACAAACAAGTCCATGGCCGTCACGTAGGACACTCTAGGTAGCGAGTTCCTGGCCACCGTGCTCAGGGTGGTCATGGTCAGTACCGTGGTGATGCCTAGGGAGGTAATGCATATGGATAGCTATATGGATAGCTGGCTGGCACTGGGGTGACCCAATGACTCCAGTCAGTGATTATATAACATGTGGGCAGAGGTCTATTAATCACCATCAATAATGCACATGGGGTATTCTGGGTAGATTCTCGCATCAATCCTGTTCCTCTATTAAACAGCTGAAGTGGGGATTTTCTGTGAGTGTGGTGAAGTAGAATAATGAAATAATCAGTTTTTCTCCCAGGGTGTGCTACAATGATATCAAAGAAGATCTTCTCTACAGTGAAGCCGCATCACAATTAAGACTGTTTTTCCATATACTATATGTTTTGACAGACTATACTTTGACTTAATGCAACTTTTGTAGACACGCTATACTAATTTATTTTGCTTATACGACTTGTTTTTGAACACCACTGCTCTTAAAACACTACCTTTTCCTTACTGTGTGAGACATTTCACACAGTAAAAGTGCTTAAATACACACAGTGTATTTAAGCAGTATATTGTTGAATTGTTGTCCTTTTATTTTCTACCTAGTTGACTGCGTTGTTGGAAGAAAGGTGAGGACAACCAAGTGTCACCCACATCTTCTTTATACTGTAGTTGTCTGTTGTAGTAAATATCATATCCTTGTGGAGTCATTTCTTCAAAAAGCCCTGCACCTGATATCATGGGTTCAAGTTGGGTGGTTGTTGGTTCAATGCAGTTTAATTTGAGGCAAGGTCTTGTTTGTGCTACACGCTTGGTTGTCCTCACCCCCGTTGTGTTAACGTCACCCACGTCTTCTTCACACTGTAGTGGCCTGTTGTAGTAAATATCGTAGAAGAGTGACACCAACAGTTCTAAAGTTTGTTTTGGGTGAAATCCTGCAGTGGGAAAGAGAAATACGCTGGGAGCACAGTGTAGTTTGTGTGATCGGATGGGTGTTTGGGATAGATGGATGGCAAAAGGAATTAGCAGGTTATGCAAGAGATGGCAGGTTTGCATCCCACACAATAACAACAACAAAAACAGCTTTTTGGGTGAAATCCTATAGTGGCGAAGAGCAGAGCGAGAGCTTTTTGGGTGAAATCCTCATCATGGTAAAGCTGTTTTACTGTAAACAGGAAGTTGCGGTAACTCACCTAACAGTGCAGAGTTTTATTGTACTCCATCTTCTTCTTCTTCCTCATTCTACATCTCTTCCTCACAGCCAGGTGATATTTTCCATCAAGCTGTGTTGGAACCTGAAATAATAGAAATAGTCTGTGTAAGAGACAAAATATTGTTTTTCCTCATGCTTTGAAAATAGATTAAGATTATAAACATTCATTAATAGTGACTGTAAGAACTTCATTTCAGAGTCAGCCAGTGGTTTGGGAAATGTCTCATAATCAATCTTGACAGCGTGAGAAAAGCAAACGCTGAAGGTCTAGACGTCTCACAGTAAGGAGGTGCAGCCTCCATACTCAGATGCCAGATTCATCCGTCAAACAGACACTCTGTCAAACCTCCTGCATTCACACAATCACTGACATATTTAAAGGGACCTAAGAACATTGCTTGAGGAACTCCCTCAAAATATAGTCCTGACCCTTGCTGCTTATTGCATCTGAGGAATCCCCCAAAAAATATTATAATATCAGTTCATGGATTGTATGTGAGCTGCTTGGGCTTTTATCATTTATATAATGATATAAAACATTTGTGTAGTGTCTTTTAAAAAGTATACAACATGGCAGTGACATAACTATTATATATGTTGTTATATGAACAGAAGGAATGTTACAGCCTGTTTCAGTGAACTACTGTTTTACAACAAACTGTGAACCAACCCTTTCATCTCTAAAGCTCAAAATCTATTTTAACATCATGTTCTACTTCTGTCTCCTGCAGCTTGTTGGGATGGTGGGACATGATCTGAAAACTCGGTTCCTGATGAATAACGGTAAAGAAAATGATGTTATTTGTACATGACACAACATGAAGCCACTGTTGTGATTTAAAGGTTGATGTTTGCTGCCATCCTGTGGCCTCATTGGATATTACATCTATAATTCATACTTGGCACTGTACTCTGAATATTGATGACATATATTTCTCCACATGTGTCTGTTCTTATTAAATGCCTCAAACACAAACTGTGACCGTGTTTATTTTGTGTGATCTCAGTGTTGGAGTGAACGGCTTCAGACTGTCCAACCTGCAGGCATTTCGGACATACTGCAGTGCATTGCATTTATGAGTTCACGGTCTTAAAATGTTAAGTGTTTAAAACTAACAAGATGTACTATTGTACGTCCCAACGCATAAAAAAAAGACCCTGATCATTATAGTTCAGGATGAAATTTGTAGGATTGAAAATAAAAAAGAGAAAAACACTAAAAAGCACTCCGTTTATAATGAATGTTTGCATTGGCAACACATTTTCGATTTAATATCTTGTATTATTGCTTCTTTATATTCAAACTAGACATTATTTAATTCATATAAATATCCAAATATCAAGACCTTTGGTTCCCGTTATTGTTTTGCTTAAACTTTTTCCAGAGGTGATCAATGATGGTACAGCATAAATTAAGGACATCGTGGATATGGTGAGTGCTGATTATTTTACACTCCTGAAATAAAAAAGATGATAAAAAACTGCAAGCGCAAGGCTATATATAAGACTATAGCCAACTATCAAGCAAAACTGTCTTAATGCAATTCAATTATTCGAATCATCAAGAGAAGACATGCCCCTTCTCACTTAATTTTCAGCTGGTCATCATCCATTTTCCCATAACCCCCTGGTTACATATCTCCGAAACTTCGGTGGGGACAATGCCCCCACCACCACCTCCCCGGCAGAGCACTAGACACTTGGCAACGTGCGGGATTCGAACCCACAACAGTCTGTTGCAGACAGTAGGAGATTTGTCTGAGAATACCACTACTACGCCACCAGCCCCTTTCGCATTTGGAACTCTTCTCGGAACGTATTTGACTGTGATGGCCTGTCAAACCTCAAAAGCAGTCACACCTTTTACGGTTCGATCCCACAATCGCTCAGTTTCCAGCCCGACTGAGCTATTCGACTCCATACACTTAAATCGTGTCTTGGTCTCTGCGTATTTGCACTCTATAAGGATAGAACCTACAACCTCCTGTCTCGTAACCAGTCTTCTATCACCCTAACCCATCTGTCCTGATACCAGCAACTGGTCCCTACACATATTTGACTTTGTGATTGGATGTTCCAGCCTTTCAACCAATCATTTTTCGACATAATCTAATGACTTTTTTCAATATATTACACTATGACTGATTGTAAAAATAAATGTATTTTGACACACACCCATCCATGCACTTCACTACTAATCAGCTGGTTCCTTCAAGTTGCATTTGTTTTGCTTTTGTCAAAAATTACTTTTCTTAACAGCCAACTTGTCTGGTCTTCCAAATTGTCGCACCTTTTGAGACAGGTTTTGATATGTGCCATACTATACAATGATACTATTGTTTATACTTCATTGTATTTTTAATTTATGGTTCACTGTACTACCACATTTTTATTTCATACAATGACTTCTTCATGACATTGTATATTATGCTGTTTTATGGCATATGTGACGCCCAGGGCCTCTGGCAGGGAGTGTCTATCTTTCAGTGTTCCTGGATCGTTAGAGAGGGACATCAGGAAGATTGGAGGCAGCTGGCCACGGCCTTCGACCTACAAGACCCGCCCCATCCGGAGGAAGTGCTGGCTTCTTCCCCTGACACACCTGGTGTGCTACACGCAGCAGCAGCAGCAATAATTCTGCGTCGGATGTGAACGATTTTGATGATCTGTATAACCTGATGGTGCTTGAACAGTTTAAAAGCACGGTCCCAGAGGGAATTGCGATGTACATCAGTGAGCACAAAGTGAAGACTGCAGGTGAGGCTGCTGCGTTGGCAGATGATTATGTTTTAACCCACAGAAGTAGCGGCGGGGATCCACGCGCTTATGGCTTTGCTGGTAGGGAAAGTGTTCCTGCCCGGTATTTCTCTGGCCGTTCTGGTGGAAATTTTCGTTCTGAACAGAGAGCTGACCGTGGTGTCCGTACCTCTGACGACAGTTGTCATTTCTGCCATGAAGTAGGTCACTGGAAAAGAGACTGCGCTTTGCGCAAGTCTCAGAACGGGTATAATGGAGCGCAGGTGAAACCAGCCGCTCTGGCTGCGCCAGTTTCCAGGTTGGTCATTTCGGACAATTTGAGTGATCTGACATCTCTCACGGAAAAGCCCGATTTAACTTCATATTTGCCTTTTATCACAAAAGGACATGCGTCTCTGGTGAGTACTGACAGGAAGGTGCCAGTAACTATATTACGTGACACTGGAGCATTGGATTAATTTATCCTGGCGTCAGCTCTGCTTTTTTCTGCGGAAACTGACACAGGTTCATTTATACCTGTTTTAGGGATGGGCATGTCTGTTCATGTACCAGTGCATAAACTTGTGCTCCACTCTGACTTAATTGAGGGAGAAGTTATAATGGGGGTGCGCCCTGCTCTACCTATACATTATGTCAGCATGGTGGACTGTCTGAGCTGTGTTGCTTTTTGTTGATTAGCTGCTGTTGATTATTTATTTTCTGTTGATTATAAAAAGTTCTTAAACTCACAGCGTTTGCTGTTTCAAGTTGTGAAAGCAGACACATAGCGCTAATTTACAAAACGCATATTAAGCATAAATCTTAAAAGATTTAAGACCTAAAATGTACTCATTTGGGGCTGGGGCACGTATCTGGGCTGATGATCCAGCTCAATCGGTACTTGTCCCGGTACCGCTGGGTAGTAAAGGCCCTGATGAAAATGAGAAGCGGTATCCTGATGTATTCCAGGCTTGCGCCGTGACGCGCGCCATGACGGCGGCCGGTCACGAGGGGGAAGCAGAGGTGGAATTGGAGAATGCGAAAATAAATGACCCCACAGAAGTGTGTATTATCACTGTCTAACACTCCATTGTCTGTCTCACAGAGTGTTGGCGAGCGAGCAAAAAGCTGATTCCACGCTAAGTGAGCTGTTCCAGTCTGTTCTTCCAGCAAATCGTGCGCACGGGTACTTCATTCAAAACGAGGTATTAGTCAGAAAACCCGTGCCACGTAGCGAGCGTCTCATTGGAGATTCGGTTTATCAAATCGTCGTGCTGTTGAAATTCCGCGATTTGGTCTTGCGTGTTTCACATGAGTCAGGGCATATGGGGGTAGGAAAAACATGCGATTGCGTTTTTAGGCATTTCTTTTGGCCCCATGTTAAGAGACGTGGCGACCTACATCAAGACCTGCCATACCTGTCAGCTAACACATAAGCTGGCTGCCTTGCAAGAAGATTGGAGAGAACCAACAAACAATCTGGTTCATTATGTCAAATGGGTTCCGGATTAGACTTGACTCAGCTGGGGAATTGGCAAGGTCGACGTTGGCTGAGGCAAGATGGAATGAAACGTTTGTATGACCGTCGAACAGCACGACGTGTTTTCAGTTCAGGCATACTCTCTAGAGATGAGTCGCATTAAAGGGAAGGACAATATTGTTGCTGATGCATTGTCCAGGGCCCCATGTCAGTAATTGTGCATCATGTTTCTTTCAACTTTGTCTGTCTCTCTTAAAGATTGCTTCAAGGTACCAGTAGCTGAGATGGGATATGAGGAAATAGCTGAAGGAATGTTGAGCAACTGTTGAGGTGATTGGGTTGAAGTATAATGTATATGCAGGGTTTTTTGTGATGTAGAGTTGTGGGCATGGTTGATGTCCAGGTTCCTGTGGGGACCCTGTCTTTATGGGGGGGGTGTGTGATGGCCCAGGGCCTCTGGCAGGGAGTGTCTATCTTTCAGTGTTCCTGGATTGTTAGAGAGGGACATTAGGAAGATTGGAGGCAGCTGGCCACAGCCTTCGACCTACAAGACCCGCCCCATCCAGACGAAGTGCTGGCTTCTTCCCCTGACACACCTGGTGTGCTACACGGAGTGTCTGGCAGCAGCAGTTAAACCGTCTGGTATTCTGTGAGAATGCTCTTCTGTGTTGCACTTTGAAATGTCCTGGCCTTTTGTTAATAAAGGTATTTCTTTGTTTAGCTCCGTGCCTGAGTTTCCGTGACATTTTGCTATGGTTCTAGAGCCGGACCATAACGCATACCATACTTACTGAAACAATAATTAAAATATCACGACATTATCAAGTTTCATTATTTGCTCTGAGCTCGTCCAGCGTCATCTTGTCTTGGAGGCAGCTGAGCAGCATTCGATATGCCTCTCTGTGGTTCTCAAGGGGCTCATCCAGTGTTTTCTGGAAGACAAAAACACAAAAAAAACTCAAACACACAATCATTTATATCTCACATACCTTGTATGTATCTGAGAACCAACAAAGACGACAAACCAGCTCCTTAAATCGTCAGTAATGTCAGATTCGGGTATTCTAAAGTTCTGTAGGTCAGATAATTCTGCTTGAGGTGTGTAGAGTTCATAAACTATACTGTACTATGACATACTACACTACCACTTTTTATGAGATTTCTTTATTGCATTCTATGACATACATGTATTTATGACTTGCTATACTGTGGCCTTTTTGACATACAACACTAACTTTATAACTACTATACAACATTTTACACTGTGCCTTTAACGGGATATATTATGCTGTTTGAGGTACAATAATATTACACCATTTAAAAAAAAAAAAAAAATCATAGTATGTTGATGGCCCGGTAATTTATCTGGGTCACCTATAAAATTTGTGTTAACAAATTGCAGTGTTACACTTGTGTGTGTTGTATTAATGAATACGGTTATAATTATGGTCATATACAGTTGTGTGAAAAAGTGTTTGCCCCCTTCCTGATTTCTTATTTTTTTTGCATGTTTGTCACACTTAAATGTTTCAGATCATCAAACAAATTTAAATATTAGACAAAGATAACACAAAATGCAGTTTTTAAATGAAGGTTTTTATTAAGGGGGAAAAAAAATCCAAACCTACATGGCCCTGTGTGAAAAAGTGATTGCCCCCTAAACCTAATAACTGGTTGGGCCACCCTTGGCAGCAACAACTGCAATCAAGCATTTGCGATAACTGGCAATGAGTCTTTTACAGCGCTGTAGAGGAATTTTGGCCCACTCATCTTTGCAGAATTGTTGTAATTCAGCCACATTGGAGGGTTTTCAAGCATGAACCGCCTTTTTAAGGTCATGCCACAGCATCTCAATCGGATTCAGGTCGGGACTTTGACTAGGCCACTCCAAAGTCTTCATTTTGTTTTTAAGCCATTCAGAGGTGGACTTGCTGGTGTGTTTTGGATCATTGTCCTGCTGCAGAACCCAAGTGCATTTCAGCTTGAGGTCACGAACAGCTGGCCGGACATTCTCCTTCAGGATTTGTTGGTAGACAGCAGAATTCATGGTTCCATTTACCACAGCAAGTCTTCCAGGTCCTGAAGCAGCAAAACAGCCCCAGACCATCACACTACCACCACCATATTTTACTGTTGGTATGATGTTCCTTTTCTGAAATGCCGTGTTACTTTTACGCCAGATGTAATGGGATATACACCTTCCAAAAAGTTCAACTTTTGTCTCGTCAGTCCAGAGTATTTTCCCAAAAGTCTTGGGGATCATCAAGATGTTTTCTGGCAAAACTGAGACGAGCCTTTATGTTCTTTTTGCTCAGCAGTGGTTTTCATCTTGGAACTCTGCCATGCAGGCCATTTTTGCCCAGTCTCTTTCTTATGGTGGAGTCATGAACACTGACCTTAATTGAGGCAAGTGAGGCCTGCAGTTCTTTGGATGTTGTTCTGGGGTCTTTTGTGACCTCTTGGATGAGTCGTCGCTGTGCTCTTGGGGTAATTTTGGTCGGCCGGCCACTCCTGGGAAGGTTCACCACTGTTCCATGTTTTCGCCATTTGTGGATAATGGCTCTCACTGTGGTTCGCTGGAGTCCCAAAGCTTTAGAAATGGCTTTGTAACCTTTTTTCCAGACTGATAGATCTCAATTACTTTGTTTCTCATTTGTTCCTGAATTTCTTTGGATCGCAGCATGATGTCTGGCTTTTGAGGATCTTTTGGTCTACCTCACTTTGTCAGGCAGGTCCTATTTAAGTGATTTCTTGATTGAGAACAGGTGTGGCAGTAACCAGGCCTGGGTGTGGCTAGAGAAATTGAACTCAGCTTTCCAAAGATGTGATAAACCAGTTAATTTGTTTTAACAGGGGGGGGCAAATCACTTTTTCACACAGGGCCATGTACAGTGGGTACGGAAAGTATTCAGACCCCTTTACATTTTTAACTCTTTGCTTCATTGCAGCCATTTGCTAAAATCCAAAAAGTTCATTTTATTTCTCATTAATGTACACTCGGCACCCCATCTTGACAGAAAAAAACAAATGTAGAAATTTTTGCAAATTTATTAAAAAAGAAAAACTGAAATATCACATGGTCATAAGTATTCAGACCCTTTGCTCAGTATTGAGTAGAAGCACCCTTTTGAGCTAGTACAGCCATGAGTCTTCTTGGGAATGATGCAACAAGTTTTTCACACCTGGATTTGGGGATCCTCTGCCATTCTTCCTTGCAGATCCTCTCCAGTTCCGTCAGGTTGGATGGTGAACGTTGGTGGACAGCCATTTTCAGGTCTCTCCAGAGATGCTCAATTGGGTTTAGGTCAGGGCTCTGGCTGGGCCAGTCAAGAATGGTCACAGAGTTGTTCCGAAGCCACTCCTTTGTTATTTTAGCTGTGTGCTTAGGGTCATTGTCTTGTTGGAAGGTGAACCTTCGGCCCAGTCTGAGGTCCAGAGCACTCTGGAAGAGGTTTTCTTCCAGGATATCTCTGTACTTGGCCGCATTCATCTTTCCTTAAATTGCAACCAGCCGTCCTGTCCCTGCAGCTGAGAAACACCCCCATAGCATGATGCTGCCACCACCATGTTCCACTGTTGGGATTGTATTGGGCAGGTGATGAGCAGTGCCTGGTTTTCTCCACACATACCGCTTAGAATTAACGCCAAAAAGTTCAATCTTGGTCTCATCAGACCAGAGCATCTTATTTCTCAGTCTGTGCGGGCTATGCGGGCTTTCACATGTCTTGCACTGAGGAGAGGCTTCCGTCGGGCCACTCTGCCATAAAGCCCCGACTGGTGGAGGGCTGCAGTGATAGTTGACTTTGTGGAACTTTCTCCCATCTCCCTACTGCATCTCTGGAGCTCAGCCACAGTGATCTTTGGGTTCTTCTTTACCTCTCTCACCAAGGCTCTTCTTCCACGATTGCTCAGTTTGGCTGGACGGCCAGGTCTAGGAAGAGTTCTGGTCGTCCCAAACTTCTTCCATTTAAGGATTATGGAGGCCACTGTGCTCTTAGGAACCTTGAGTGTTGCAGAAATTCTTTTGTAACCTTGGCCAGATCTGTGCCTTGCCACAATTCTGTCTCTGAGCTCCTTGGGCAGTTCCTTCGACCTCATGATTCTCATTTGCTCTGACATGCACTGTGAGCTGTAAGGTCTTATATAGACAGGTGTGTGCCTTTCCTAATCAAGTCCAATCAGTTTATTTAAACACAGCTGGACTCCAATGAAGGAGTAGAACCATCTCAAGGAGGATCAGAAGAAATGGACAGCATGTGAGTTAAATGAGTGTCACAGCAAAGGGTCTGAATACTTATGACCATGTGATATTTCAGTTTCTCTTTTTTAATAAATTTGCAAAAATTTCTACATTTCTGTTTTTTTCTGTCAAGATGGGGTGCTGAGTGTACATTAATGAGAAATAAAATGAACTTTTTTGATTTTAGCAAATGGGTGCAATGAAACAAAGAGTGAAAAATTTAAAGGGGTCTGAATACTTTCCGTACCCACTGTAGGTTTGGATTTTTTTTCCCCCTTAATAACCTTCATTTAAAAACTGCATTTTGTGTTTACTTGTGTTATCTTTGTCTAATATTTAAATTTGTTTGATGATCTGAAACATTTAAGTGTGACAAACATGCAAAGAAATAAGAAATCAGGAAGGGGGCAAACACTTTTTCACACAACTGTACATGTATGTTGAAAATGTAGGCCTATCTATAAATTTAACAAATTAAATCCTAAATATAAAAATCAAATGTGATACAAGAAAATGAATTGGGTCAGAAAATAGGTTAAACTTTAATCATCTGATTTGGTGATCAAATAAAATGACACGGGTATTTAATCCTGTTGACAATTATTCATATATGATGAGGTTAGTCTCCATAGCAGCCACATAGTCAGAGCATTTTTTGTAATTAAGATTACCTGTTGTAACCCTTTCACTATTTATTCTAATGAATGAACTTATATTTCTGCTTCATGGCATACAAGTTAGTCCACTATAGCGTTTGCAGTTGAATTAAGAAGTTATTCAGCTATTGAAGTTATTTGAATAGATTTATGAAAATCAACAGCTATTATGTGCACAATTGAAACAACTAGCATTACTAGTTGTTTTAAATATTCTAAATACAAGGGGGACTTATTCTTAGCCTGGGATATGTCAGGGTTTAGCAACAACATTGATCTTGATGCATTGCGTCACACACTGCAGTAATAACCCAAGTGGAAAACCAGGAAAATAATAAAAAATGACTATTTTGAGGCCACAGCTGCAGATTGAAAAAAGATATAATAAAATGCTTGAAGTTCAACTTCCCAAAATTTAAAAAAAACAAATGAAATCATACCCTGGTGGCCAAAATGTATGCCAAATGCCAATGATGGAACATTTTAAAATGCCTATAGCTATACATAAAGGGTTAAACAAAATCCAGAGATGAGATTTAGTATCAGACCTGAATGAGATAATACTGATCCTCATCAAGACAATCATTCATGTAAAGCATTTACATTACAACCGCATTATTATTAAAGACCAACTATCAGAGCTGCCGCCACTATAATCACAACTGTGCATGTATTTAAGAATCCGTATCTGGATATAACAGACAACCAGAGAGAGGCTGAAGTCTGTCCACCGGGACCAACTTCAATAAAATGGAGTCCATCCTGCTCTTTGAAACCCATCTACAGGACTTTGCTTTGCATAGACAACCAGGACTTAACATCCTTCCCCTCTCGACACTCATTCAAAACATCTCAAATTGGGCCTCTGAGACTGAGCAGAGAGGTGTTTCTCCTACTTTTTTTTTGAAACTCTGAATGTACAACAAGTAATGTTGTGTACTGGCTGTTAAAGGTTGGCTGCAGTCATCACAAACAAGCACATGGTGTTCCTATGAAAAAACACAGATGATCGATGCTTCGGGCATATACACAATGAGGCACAGGCTCCCAAATCAAGTCCTGTTTGTCTCCGCCCTGTTTGCTTGCAACTGTCATTTAAAGGCAATATTGAGAGTTGCTCAGAGCTTTACAAATGCAGCGATTTGCTGAACGGCTATCCAAAACGATCCAAAACCACTTACAATAAGTGCATTCAACCATGTGTTCAACCCCACAACTGCAAGAATCTTGCAAGTACATCAACATCATCAAATTTGCGGATGTACTCTAAGTGCTAAACAATAAGAGACAGACAAAGTTGATTTTTTTCAGCTGAGACAAGATGAGACCGTAGGAACCAGGTTGTATATAGGCTTGTGACCTCGCTACCTCTGATTACTCTTACAAACTCTGTTGATTCGTTGAAAGTTCCTATGTAATTAATTGTAAAAAGTGTGTAGATTATGGTAACTTTTCACCTAATGCTTTAACCTGCCCATCTCTCAACACAGGTTTTTAATGCTCATAGATTTTACACATTAATATAGTTTGCAGCCTATATACTGCTATACAGCAGTCTCAATCAGAGCATCACTTGACAAAAGTGTATTACAAACATCTGTCCAACCTCATAGTCAAGCTCTTACCGCCTTCACCTCAATGCACCTCAATGCACCCATCCTCTCTCAGCATAACACAAGCTTCCATGCACAATCGTTCGCACCAGCCGCAGCTTCATAACACCAACGATGGCATTTAAGCTTTCATGAGAACGAGACGCCTCATGCTATGATGCCATGCGTCTGAAAACAAAGCAACACAATGACTGCTTTAGAAAGAAAAGACAAGTGTGAAGCGGTTCCTACCATTGATCAGTTTGACTGGCGGAAACAATCCCCTTCTGAAACAGATAAGCATGTGAAAAGCATTAATAACTATGCATGTATATATATACACATACATCATACATGAAAAAGAATAGAAAGTGTCTTTTTTTCTTCTTCAATTTGAGAAGCTAGTAATTGTTTATTGGTAATAATAAACATGCTCTGAAGCTCCTGCAGGTACATTGGCTGTAAAATCAAACGTATAACCCCGTTAACACTTTGCACACAGGCAGTTCCTTGATGTCAGATTTCCACACCTCTAAAGTCATTTCTAACTGTAGTACACATATTCAGACATACACGCTCTTCATCGCCAGTCCAACACCTACAAAAAAGTTACGTGTGTCAATTAAACAGCTGCTAGACGTGCTGCATGGGCTCCATCTCTCTGTCCTCACGGCTTCAGTAAGTACGTCGTCGCTCAGCGAGGAGTCGCTCGCCGCCTCGTTTCATTAATACCGCCAGGAGCCGGCGCTGAGCTGCTGCTGCTCCTCTTCCTCCTGCTCCCAGGTGTCGGGGGAGGCTGTTACCTGGGAAATACCAGCCGAGATTAAACCATGTGAAATCATGCTGCAGATCGTCCCTCCTGAGGCAACGGCTCGCTGTGTGTTCATAATGTGAATTAGCATTTCGTGCTGAATCACCTCCCATGATGCACGCCGATTTCCCATCTTTGTCTCAACTTGAAGACGTGTTCTGTGTAATTTAAAGTTATAATACTGGAGGTGAACCGCATCACCACTGTCTCTGCTTCTACAGTGATTGTAGTGACGTTCATACACTTTTTCCACAACCTAAAAATGCTTTTTGATATGTGACAGCTAAAACTGTTACGATGAACTAAACAGTATATTTAAAGGGCTGCAACTAACAGCCGTTATCAATTTAGCTGTCAATTAAAGCCCCACAAAACACTTTCCCAGAGATTAAAGAAGCGTCTTTAAAACGCCATTAAGTCCAAAACACAAAGAGATTCCATTTACACTGGTATGAAACAGGAGAGCACCAATATTATATTAATTATATAGATTGTAGTGACACTTTGTATGTACAGCATACAGAGTCATTGCAGCATTTTCATCACGGTGACCACTTGACATTTCTAAGACTTATTCACTGGAAGCTTTTCAATCTTCTCTAAAGGTAACAATTTCTCCATTGTCAGGTATCAAAGTCTAAAAGTTACCAACTTCATAATTCTGCTGCTTATGACAATGAGCCGAGTACAGCTTGTGAGCTTGTTCTCTCGGGGCTTTTCTTTCCTCCGGAGGCAGCCTTTCAAGGCAGCAATAGACATTTAAGCTTTGAGCACCAAAACCTTCCAAGCATTTGCATTAACACGTTTTTTTATTTTCTTCCTCTCAGACACTGAGTCTAACACCGGCTAAGCTTGTCTCAGATTACTGCAGTTTCCTTTTGGTGCAGGATCTCTTATCACTAACAACATAGCCAGTGGGCTGCAGAAAACTGTATGTAAAGCAAACACACACTTCCCACTTACACTGGCACAAATGAACACCCTCTAATAATACATGATAAACTAACAACAGGTGCCGAACGTGCACATTTAACATGTGCAAGTGTCACCAACCCAAAGCTAACAGGCCGAGCTTCCAAACTATTATAATAACCGTCAAAAAAGGAATGACAAAGTTTACATGTTTACAAAAAGTGTAATGCACACAACATGCTTTTTGGAAGTTTCATATCACCATATAGCACATTTTTCCTGGCAAGTCGATAAATAAAGTCTATATGAATTCATCACATAGGGAAACCTATTTCTGTATACCCCTGTGTGTATTAAATACTTGACAAAATATGTTCTCATTTTATTAAGAATTTTAGCGCAAAATGAGCATGGCACTTTCGGGTGAAATCATAGAGAAAAAAATGAATAAATAATTCCAGCTATTACATGCATGCAAATAAAGAGTAATCAGACAAAAAACAATACTAATAATATTTACTAAAGCCCCAGTCGCTCAAAGCTGCTCCATCCTGCCCCCGTCAATGACATGCTGGACCAAATATCTTCCGGTCAATGTGAGGAATTTTAAATATTTTTCGCAACATTATCTCCAGAAGAGCGGCTATTGTCATAGATGGCGACAACAACATTAATCAACCTAGCAACATTATTTGGGGCCTTATCCTCTAACGTTTTGAACAGGCATCGCACCGACCACCTACTTTCTCATCACCTGGTCCTCCCTGTCAGCCTCCACGGCCTCACACACCTGTTATAAAGCTCCCTGTAAAATGTTCCCCCATGTCATCTTTCAAAAGATATATCCACAAATAAATGTGACAATAGAGGCGAAGAGATCAAAATGTTCATTTCCGGCTTAGTCTACAATGGGTCCGATGCATCTGTCTCACACACCTGGACCTCACCAGTTAATTAAAACATCAATTAAACCTGAAACCCAACAGCGCGAGAGGAGCTGCTAACAGCGTCAATAAAATAAAAGCGTGAACTAAAAGTACTTGTTTTTGCCACCGACAGTCTCAGTCTATGACAAAATAATGGAAAGGACCCCACAGAGAAATAAAACGTTTTCCTTACCTTCCCTTGGACCTGGCTGGAGAAGTCCTGGAAACTGAAGTCCGGCTCAAATACATACAGACGGAATGTAAAGACCTCCAACATAGTGTCGACTCGTGCAAATATTACATTGAAAGTCTCTTCGATAACAATAATCTACATATTATGTAAACAAACAAACTATGCTTGGCCGCAACTCGCGTCACCGTCATGGCCGTTTCCAAACAGATCCACACGTGTTCCCATAGTCCCGCCCTGCTGTGCTGTGATTGGCTAGCACTGGCTAGGTCCTACAGTGATGTGATTGGCGGATCGTGCGGCGATTGCAATGTGCTCCTGTGTCCTCTCTGCTCTTGATCCGTCAGCAAGATAAGGCCGAATCAGCTGGTTCAACTTAAAATCAAAAGGCATTTCATATCTAACAAAAGCAATCACACTACCTGCTGGTTCACCAGTGTGAGTTCCTCATTCCTTCTCTGGATTTAAGTGTTACTAAATATTGAAGCTCTGCTCAAAAAAAGCTCAAAAAAATCCAGTTCAGAACTTCCAAGTGCATATTTTACAAGACAAGACTCTACCCCCCCAAAAAAGTGTCACATTCATGCACTGATAAGAAAACATTTGCCCCAACAAAATCAAATCATTTGTAGCCCCGTATTCCCAAATATACAAAGACAAATGGCGTGTTTCACTTGCTGTGGAAACAAATTTCCATCTATAATAGCTCTGTTAATAATTGAATATACGGTAACATATCAAAGCATATCCTTTATCATCTATTCTCTCTGTGCTTGGTCTGTCATTCACAGAATACAAAGGAATAAAAAACTAGTGCTTAATTGTGAGCCGCTGGAAGTGTAAGTACTGTAAGTAAGAGCAGCAGGTCATCTAATGGCAGTGCGCAGCCTTAAAGGACAATGCACAGACCTCAATTCATCACAATTATAGGTTTCAGATGGACAAGAAGATTTCAACTGGGGGGCAATTTATAAAAGATGTGTGTGATTTCTATCATGACGGAATGATGTACCCTCTCACCATAATGGCCCCTCCGAGCATGCCTTGCCAGGGATTGAGTCAGCTGAGCTGCAGGGAGGACTATGTCCAGCAGATGGCAGCATTGCACTTTGAATTTCCTGAGGTGGCCCCTTTTCTCTCTGCATCTTTTAATTAGAGGACAGAAGCAGCCTCAAATGCAATATGGCGACTCTTTATTCTGATTATCATGAAGTGATATGATCTCACTTGCCGTTATTTTTGATTTATCCAACTAACACTTTGAGACAGCGGTGAACTATCATTTGATAAGCCAGCTGTATCCACGGTCAAATCGATACCCAAGCTCACCACACACATCGATATGATTATAAAATAATAATTCATTGAAGATGGAGGCGCTCTTGCAGGAAGTAGCAGTAAATTGAAGGGCTTGGTAAGTGATCAGTGATCCATGACTTGCATCTTCCACTCACACCGCATGCACAGGCAATTATGCCGTGCTGAACCATGGAGAGTTCAGAATTACTCCAAAACTGGGTTAACAGCTGCCTGCATCCACTCTCTAAATGCTTTTTGTGTGTGCCCAAACAGACACACACCCTCCGCCGCCACCTATCCATGCACAGACAATTGGCCTGGTTCTTCAAGTGGAAGACATGTCACACAGGGCACCGAGCACAGAGATCCAAGTAACAAGGCCCTGTGAGACATGGAGGGGGCATGGTATGCCAGAGTGAGTAATACTCTTCACCAGTGTGTGTGTGTGTGTGTGTGTGTGTGTGTGTGTGTGTGTGTGTGTG